GACTCCAAGTCGTTTATCTCCCTTCAATTAACTTGCATCTTTTCATGGACGCCCCTCTGTACTCAGCAGCTTCAGCGCTGCTCTCATGACCCAGGAGCTTCACACGATTACGCCTCACTTGCCTGACATTTAAATTTAACAGCTTGATTTAAAGGCTAATAATACAGGAACACATACACACCAGTGTTATTTAGCAGGCTGCGTAAGGAGACAATGTATCACGTCGTAAGGTTGCTTGCTGCTGCTGCACCGCGCGGGAGAGAAGCAACACCCTTCCTTTGCATGATGAACGGCGCCTTTCAAAGGACTTTTTTCTTAGAATGGCTAATAATGATTGTTATGAAATGATTTGTGGTATGTCGTTAATAACTTCTTTATTATGGCGTACGAGCTCGTTCAATGAATGTCGTATTAATGATTGACATGAAATGATTTGTGTTATGTCGTTAATAACTTCTTTATTATGGCGTACGAGCTCGTTCAAAGAATGTCGTATTAATGACTGATATGAAATGATTTGTGTTATGTCGTTAATAATTTCTTTATTATGGCGTACGAGCTCGTTCAAAGAATGTGTTATTAATGACTGATGTCATAATGTGTGGTATATGCCATGAATAACTTGCATGTCATGGAGGACGAGCTCGTGAAAGGCAATTCTTTTGAAGCATTAAAGCCATTCTAATATCATTGCCTTTACGCTGTGTTGCATGTCATGAAATACGTTGTTATTTTGAATATACTTCGCAAAAATTACGTTATTTTGTCATAGCACCAAATTTCACTTGATGCGTTATTTTAATGATTTGTACTACATTTTAAGATGACGCTATTTCAACCAAATACATTGCTTCTGGATGAAGTTTTCCACGTGATGTTCTGATCTATCGAGTGAAATTCCCTCTAAGTCAAGCAATACTTAATTTTTTCTTGTAAAAACTATTGATCTTTAGACTGGCATTGATATATTTCTCCACATGAGATCTTTGTCATGATTCATTCGGAAAACACTAAACTGTACAATAAATATTTTTATTTCAAGTTTTTATATCATTCGCCTGATTGAATTGCATGTTCAGCATGAATTTGAAGGATGAAAACGCCAAAAAATTCACCATATTGCCATGCAAACGTTTCAGCTTCATCAACAGTTCTAAAAGTCAAGCAATTCCTCTACAATCAACACTGAAAATAAAAAAATACAGGAAAAAATTAAAACCTAGGTAACGAGAAAACGACAATGGAACATTTAACTTAAGGACTTACAATTTCAAGAACTGTACGTGTTATTAAGACAAGGTGTTGATGTAAAAATATGCAGTTGTTATAAAACTCTTGAATCTGATGCGGTCCAACCTTGATTATGAATACAGTTGTGCCCTTTGCGCATCAGCGTGCACCGGAAAGACGGCTCGCAACGTATTCCCCCGCAGGTTTCTGAACACAGAGCCTGGAGCTTTCATTCGAACATGCCACTTCTTAAGCCTTCTCACTCTGCTGTTCCATTCACGCTTAACAGTGCGATGTAAAAGGAAATTAAAGATACTCCGTGCCACCTCAGGTGGTTCGGATATAAGGATTTTAGAATCGCTGCATATTTTTAAACTGAAACCTTTACGCTAAAACCGGTACAGTTCCCATCGGCTTGAAGTTTTCAATCGATAGGAGTCGTGTCGCGTGGTAGTTTTCTTGTCACATTGGTTTTAATAATTTTCGTGCAAAAATTGATTTTCACTGTTGATTTTACTTGTATTCGTAAAAATTATTTGAACTCGTGATGGAGCTGGTCTCCGAAACGTTGTCTTGAAGATTAGAATTAGAATTTATGATTGTTCTTTTGATTATGATTTATTACTATAAATTTGTGAATTGATTTGGCGTTATCTTCGCTTTTTAATTTATTAATACAGCTTGCATTATAATCTAAAATAATGCTTAAAAATTCTTCACAATATTCCTGTAGGCTCAGCAACATCCTGTACAGACCCAACAATCGATAGACCAGCCACATCCTGTGCTCGGTAGACCCCAGTCGATCACAATAGGGAGAAGGTATTACAGCGGCCGCCAGACCGCATTTCTATTAACGCGACGTCGGCCGTTACAGCATCAAAGGTCTTAAGTTTATAACGCAACTTGAAGACCTTGAAGAGGCGCAGTGCTACCGGGACACACGAAATTACAGGCGATACAAGCGTGACTGGCAGCATCTCTGTGCCGCGAGGGGGACATGTATGCAGTAGGCCATACACCCCGAGCCGCGGGGAGGACATGTATACAGTAGGTCATACCATATCGCGGGGAGGACATGTATACAGCAGGTCATAAATCCCCATGCCGCGGGGAGGACATGTATACAGTAGGTCATACATCCCCATGCCACGGGGAGGACATGTATACAGTAGGTCATAAATCCCCATGCCACGGGGAGGACATATATACAGTAGGTTATACATCCCTGTGCCGCGGGGAGGACATGTATACAGGAGGTCATACATCCCCATGCCACGGGGAGGACTGCATACAGTAGGTCATACCATGCCACAACGAGGACATGTATACAGTAGGTCATAGATCCCCATGCCACGGGGAGGACATGTATACAGTAGGTCATAGATCCCCATGCCACGGGGAGGACATGTATCCCGCAGGTCATCCTACACTGATCATCCCACTCGACGCTGGCACGTGGCAGTAGGCTTGTCATGTGGAATTTTTTAGTTCTGTTGTGGGAAAGATTATTCATGTAATTTGATTTTTATCCGGTGCTTTAAGGTTGTTTAGGATGAACGATATAATTATTATATATTTAAAATTGACTTTTTATTTTTTGTACTGCAAATCTCACTTAATCCTCCTATAATAAAATCTGTAAAAATTTGGCTTTTAATTGTGTTCAACCACGAGTACATCCAGGAAGTCTACAAGCTGGCCCGCAGCTCATGAAACACATGTTAAACTTATTAATTAGTCATTCAGTATGAAGAAAATAAACAATTTTTTCATTTGATTAGTCCCTCCAGGGCAGTGAGGATTTCTTCCCATACTATATGCAAGTATTACATAAACGTTACATCCGGGACCCGAGGGCGGGGTGACTTGCCTAGCGACAACTCGGAGACGGAGGACGACGAAGGCGGCGCATCAGCGTGACCTTGGACTAAGAAGTCCTAAACTCATCGTAAGATCGTATTAGAGTTTCCTCCAACCGATTGAGTCCTCCAAAGTCTAAACCAGGATACGTCTAGGACTTCTCATGGCAGTCCACCTGAGACGTTTCGATTGTCACGATTGTCCTTGGGCGCTGAAGGTAACCCTGCAAATCTGTAACGGTGTCACTGAGATGCGTTAATGTCAGTAAATTCCGTACTGTAATTACGCTGCCAAAGTTTGTACCATTTCCGGACCAGGAGCTGCCGACGTATGGCGATCGAAAAGATTCTACATTTGAGAAAAAGGATTCATTGCATTGTGTGCTGGTAAATTAAGTGCGTTATACCTCAATAATAATTATTATTGTTGTTTGGTTTAAATGTCTCAAAATTTTAAAAATTGCTTTTGAATGTCAGGAAATTTATTTTCGGTAAAAATATTCATCTCTCGGTGCCACCTACACAACAAAATATCTGGGGCTTGCCTGTGCAGACTCGCTTTATTTGTCTGACAGGCACAGCGAGGTATTATTTGTTCATCATCAGTCAATAAATTGTACTCTGATCAAAGGCATTGTGATTATAACCCAACTGACAAAAAAACACAATATTAGTTACAGAATCTAAACACTGGTATTGTATAACGACTTGAAGAATAACTCAATATTCTCATGCATATAAAAGTCAAGGAACGTAGCAATTCGTAATCGCGAGTTCTCATTAAATTTTTTAGCATTCGATGAGTGTTCGGAGAGGACCTTAATTCAATGACGCGCTCTACCATGCCTGAGTAACTCACTGCATGAGTGCCGGATGCTGGAGGCTGACTGAAGCAATTATTGTAATTTCGAGTAAAACTTATACATTCAGAACAATGTCATGCAAAATAATGTCGTGCACACCGCACGGATGTCCTGCAAATAAAAGGAACGAGAGTTAATTTAATCATCCATTCTGTGGTGGGGCCTATACGGTGGTCGGTGTTGGTTCGCTTCTTGTCTGAGTATTTGACTTTCGATTGTTGAATAGTGGTAAGTGAACTTATTATGTTAAATTTTTTTATACTTAACAATCGCTAGAAACTGTTGAACAGAGCCCAGAGCTCCATCCTTCACTGAAACATGGCTTACGTTAAGATTTTTCATCGAGTCACATTCTTCATATCATTGTATGTATTGTTTTTCCTTAACGTAAACGTTATCATCAAGTCGCATTTACCGCGTCCTCGCATTATTTCTTAACAATAAACGTTATCGTCGAGTAATTTTCGCCAAATTCTCTTGTTGCTTTTTCCTTACATCATTCGTTATACCATCGTGTCACATTTGTCTGTCCTGGTATTGCTTTTTCTTTACATCATTCTTTACCATCGTGTCACATCTGTCTGTCCTGGTATTGCTTTTTTTATATCAATCGTTACCATCGTGCAACATCTGTCTGTCCTGGTATTGCTTTTTTTATATCAATCGTTACCATCGTGCAACATCTGCCTGTCCTGGTATTGCTTTTTCTTTATATCATTCTTTACCATCGTGTCACAGCTGCCTGTCCTGCAGGTATTGTTTTTTTTATATCAAGCGTTACCATCGTTTAGCATCTGCCTGCCCTGGCATTGCTTTTTCCCTACATCAATCGTTATAATCGTGTAACATATACCGTATAATCATATTGCTTTTCCTTTACATCAATCGTTATAATCGCGTTACATCTGCGTGTCCTGGTATTGATTTTCCTTGCATTAATCATTTTAATAATGTAACATATTCGTTATACCGTATCATCATATTACTTTTCCCCAACGTTGAACGTTATGATGACGTCACATTTCCGTGTCAGATGAAGTTGTTGTCAAGCGTCCTGACGGTGGCAGCGATGGCGGTGCTGGCGCCAGGCGCGCAGGCGTCTGTCAGCGTGAGGGGCTCCTGCCCTGCTGTGGCCGCCGTCAGCGACTTCAACATGACGCGGGTAAGATGATCGATAATTAAATGTATCATCAAACTAGATTTAGCTTTTAATTCTTATAGTTAATAGAGGTTAGCGAACATTATAGAGCTATTGTTATTCGCTTTGATCTTGTTAACTTTAGTACTTCATGTGACATTGCCATGTATCACGAACGTTCAAAAATGCGTCAATCCACAACCGATCACAAGCCATCGAACCAACAGAAAGACGTCCACTAATTTTTTGGGGTAGAAAATTTAACGACCAAACTACCGATTGAAGTTAAATTCGTAGTAAGATTAAAGTTCGTTACGCTAAGTCAAAAGGTTAACCTGACTTCATGCCCTTAAGTTCGCAGTTATGTCATACGTCAAAGAATTAACATGACTGTAACCTCACAATTCGCACAGCTGTTGTACGTCAGAAAGTTAACGTAGCCTACAGGTTGCCGGTCTGTGGTACATCTAAGCCTTACTGCAATCTTACAGTTCGCGGAGTTGTATTACGCCAAAAGTTTGACCTGACCGCAACCTTACAGTTCGAGGGGCTGTGGTATGTCATCGAGGTATTCGACAAGGGGGTCGCCTGCATGGAGTGGAAAATCGCCCCCATGGAGGCCGACGTCTGGCACATCAAGGAGACCAAGCAGAGTGGTTAGCTTCTTCAAGTTATTTCAGTACAATGCGAATCAAAATTTTCTTCAAGTTAATATCGCATGTGATATTTTTATTTTTGTTCACAAGATTTATCAGGATTTTTGGCAGAATTTGGGTAATTGCGTGTATAAATGAAAAATAACGGTTATAATTTGTACTGTTGATGCATAAATTATCAGTTTCTAATTTATAAGAAAAATTCCTTCTTTTTTGAGTGGCCTCGGCTGCCAATAGCAATCGCGCGCCTGTCATTACCACGTCACGCCGACCCATCCTCATAATCCACACGAATATCATTATCGATTATAACTATTCATTATATATTTATTCACATGAATAATATCATCAAATATTATTATTGTTATTGGCATTATTTGCACGACACTTATTATCTGTCCTAAGGTTATGTCGGCGAATACAACGGCAAGCTCACTCGCAACGACAACAGTTCAGGCTCCCTAACTGTTAACTGGGACGCTAGTGAGTATTGTGACTACCTATTACAGTTCCGGCTCCCTAACTGTTAATTGGGACGCTAGTGAGTATTGCGACTCCCTATTACAGTTCCGGCTCCCTAACTGTTAATTGGGACGCTAGTGAGTATTGTGACTCCCTGAATATTTAGCGTATAAAGTTAAATTAAAGGTTAAAACAAAGCACGTCGCCCTAATATTTAACTAATACGTATACTAATAACTAATAAGTACGTCTCCCTAAATATTTAACATATAAAGTTAAATTAGAAGTTAAAACAAAGTACGTATCCCTGAATATTTAGTATATACAATTAAATTGAAAATTAAAACGAAGTACGTCGCCCTAAATACTTATCATATAAATTTAAATTAAAGGTTAAAACGAAGTACGTCTCCCTGATTATTTAGTATATAAAAGTAATTTAAAAATTAAAACGAACTACGTCTCCCTGAATATTTAGTATATAAATTTACATTAAAAATTAAAACAAAATGCGTCGCCCTGAATATTTAGTATATAAAATTAAATTAAAAAATATAACGAAATACGTCACCCTAAATGTTTAGTATATAAAGTTAAATAAAAAAAGTAAAGCAACGTACGTCACCCTAAATATTTAGTATACAAAGTTAAATTAAAGGTTAAAACAAAGTACGTCGCCCTCAATATTCAGTATATAAAGTTAAATAAAGAATTAAAACAAATAGGTCACCCTAAATATTCAGCATATAAAGTTGAATCAAAGATTAAAACTTTGTACGTCTGGCAGACATCGGCCGCGGCTTCCCGTTCACGGTGTACGCGACGGACTACGACACGTACGCGGGGGCGTTCATGTGTCAGCAGGTGAGACCAGCGATGCTAAATATCATTAAACTTATTAACTTATTCGTTAAACTTAATTTTATTTATTTATTTCCAGTTATTTATTATTTGTTCATATATTTTATTATTTAATTCAAGTTATTTATTATTTGTTCAAATATTTTATTATTTGTTCAAATATTTTATTATTTAATTCAAGTTATTTATTAATTGTTCAAATATTTTATTATTTAATTCAAGTTATTTATTATTTGTTCAAATATTTTATTATTTAATTCAAGTTATTTATTATGCGCCAGCTGAGCGCATGTTACGTCGCTAGGGGCGCCAGCTGAGCGCATGTTACGTCGCTAGGGGCGCCGTTACGCAATTAGCGCATATTACGCAACATATTAGGCCAGGAAGTAATTATAATGTATAAGAATATTTTCTAAAGGATGCGCTCGGTAATTTGGTGGGTTTTCTGGAAACGGGATGCGGGAACAATGATTAATAAAGATAATAATTCTAGTTTTGACTAAATTTAGATAAAGCAATTCAAATTATGCCTTCGTTCAACTGCTATTCCTTATTTTTTAGCGGTAACTTGGATGATTTTTATCGCATACCATTGTACTATATCGAGACTGAACCACTTGATATTAAAACGATATTAAAATTATCCCGCTGCAATTTTACGAAATTCTTAACTGTCAATTTATTGTTATTAAAAGACAACTAACTAAATATGCAAAGATGTAAGTTAACTAAATATGCAAAGATGTAAATTAACTAAATATATGAATTTCAACGAGCATCTGTTTCTCCAAATTGTTAAGGTATTTGCATCGAATTGAGGACATTTCTAAACAATACACCAAATACAGCTCGAACTTCACCTCTCTCCTATGCAGGTTGGGTAACGGAAATCAACCTTCTTGTCATCCATGTTATTGTGGAAAGAAAGAACGGGCCATTGTGTCCATTGTAAGTCGATGAGCTTATTTCTTTTGCTCGTTCTATTATTCATCCTAATTATTCATTATTTGTCATCTATTCAATTATGTAAAGCCGACTCCTCGAGTTAATACAGGTTCAAATGATACGAACGGTACAGATAATACGGTACACATAAGTCATAGTTGAATGAATTAGCGAATTACACGATCTTTAACCTCGATTCAATTCATAATATTGAACACGTGTTGAGTTTATTGATATTTTCTGACCGACTAATTTATTTGCATGGGTATGACAAATGCCAAAGAACCGTTGGCTAAAGAAGAACCGTTCATTTTAATTTATTTGCATGGGTATAATGGGTATAACCCATACTTATGAACCGTTATCAATGCTGGCTAAAGAAGAACCGTTCATTTTGCCAGGTGTGGTTCTTCAACAGACAGGAAGGAGTGATCCTCTCACGCTCGCCAGTTCTGCACATCGCGCAACGGCAACAGGTATGAGAACCAGCAGCAGGTATGAGAACCAGCAGCAGGTATGAGAACCTGCAGCAGGTATGAGAACCTGCAGCAGGTATGAGAACCTGCAGCAGGTATGAGAACCTGCAGCAGGTATGAGAACCTGCAGCGCAGCGCACGCCTTGCATGACTTGCAACATTTATGCGGCCTCCGCGCATTCAGAACCTTTCTCCGTAATTAAAAAGACGAAATTTTAACTCGAGGATGTGCAAATACTTGAGTAAATATGCACGGCAGTACGCATACATGCACACTCGCATGAACTGTCAACTGCATGCACGTTGCATGCATTGTCAACTGAATGCACGTTGCATGCATTGTTAACTGCATGCACGTTGCATGCATTGTAAACTGCATGCACGTTACATGCATTGTCAACTGAATGCACGTTGCATGCATTGTCAACTGCGTGCACGTTGCATGCATTATCAACAGCATGCACGTTACATGCATTATCAACTGCATGCACGTTGCATGCATTGTCAACTGCATGCACGTTGCATACATTGTAAACTGCATGCACGTTGCATGCATTGTCAACTGCATGCACGTTACATGCATTGTCAACTGCATGCACGTTACATGCATTGTCAACTGCATGCACGTTACATGCATTGTCAACTGCATGCACGTTACATGCATTGTCAACTGCATGCACGTTACATGCATTGTCAACTGCATGCACGTTACATGCATTGTCAACTGCATGCACGTTACATGCATTGTCAACTGCATGCACGTTACATGCATTGTCAACTGCATGCACGTTACATGCATTGTCAACTGCATGCACGTTACATGCATTGTCAACTGCATGCACGTTACATGCATTGTCAACTGCATGCACGTTACATGCATTGTCAACTGCATGCACGTTACATGCATTGTCAACTGCATGCACGTTACATGCATTGTCAACTGCATGCACGTTACATGCATTGTCAACTGCATGCACGTTACATGCATTGTCAACTGCATGCACGTTACATGCATTGTCAACTGCATGCACGTTACATGCATTGTCAACTGCATGCACGTTACATGCATTGTCAACTGCATGCACGTTGCATGCATTGTCAACTGCATGCACGTTGTTTGCATTGTCAACTGCGTGCACGTTGCACGCTTTATAAGAGCACATTATTTACACACGGACACACTGTTTGCACACGGTCACATCGTTTACACACGGTCACATCGTTTGCACACGGGATATCGTTTGCACACGGGCACATCGTTTGCACACGGGCACATCGTTTGCACACGGGCACATCGTTTGCACACGAGCACATCGTTTGCATACGGGCACATCGTTTACACACGGGTACATCGTTTGCACACGGGCACATCGTTTGCACACGGACACATCGTTTACACACGGGCACATCGTTTGCACACGGGCACATCGCTTGCACACGGGCACATCGTTTGCACACGGGCACATCGTTTGCACACGGGCAAATCGTTTGCACACGGGCACATCGTTTGCACACGGGCACATCGTTTGCACACGGGTGTGTATATTGGCATATATCGGCATTACATTCCTGCTAGGAAGAAACTCATCCTATTGATGCAATTTCATTAAAAAAATTAAATATTCAGTTTAATAATTCAAGCTATATATTAAACCTCGAATATGAATGCAAACAAGAAATTACAGTATAGTTATCTGGATAACTAATTTACCAATGCCCGTTATTGCAAATGATATTGTTGGCTTTGGGTAAACGACAACTAAACTCAATTAGAATCTTGCTGAACTTATATAGTTTGAGTCCTTTCTCATAATTCAATTTTAATATCATTTAAATCGAATACATATTCCACTAATTAACCTTTTTCAGTCCATTTAAAAATGCCATCAGGCAACTTAAAAACTAACTGAAGATTGTGAGGGAGATGACCTTTGCAGGATTTATCGAAAGTTCTCATTTATAAAACTCAATGAATTCCTCAGCTTCATTATGTGGCTTGCATTAAGCATTGATTCTTCCCGGCACTTTGCTGGAGCTTCCGTGGCAATTACGCACGACCGTGAACTTTTAATACGCCAGGACTGCTATGTTAATACGCTGTGACTCAAGCGTTAATACGCCTTGACTGCGATGTTAATACGCCAGCATTGCGCCGTTAATACGCATTGACTGCGCTGTTAATACGCCTTGACTGCGCTGTTAATACGCCTGGACTGCGCTGTTAATACGCATTGACTGCGCTGTTAATGCGCTTTGACTGCGCTGTCAATACGCCTTGACTGCGTTGTTAATGCGCTTTGACTGCGCTGTCAATACGCCTTGACTGCGCTGTTAATACGCCTTGACTGCGCTGTCAATACGCCTTGACTGCGGTGTTAATACGCATTGACTGCGCTGTTAATACGCATTGACTGCGCTGTTAATACGCCTTGACTGCGCTGTTAATACGCCTTGACTGCGCTGTTAACACGCTTTGACTGCGCTATTAATACGCCAGCACTGCGCTGTTAATACGGAATGACGGCGCTGTCGATACGCCAGCACTGCGCTGTTAATACGAATTGACTGCTCTGTCAATACGCCAGTATTGCGCTGTTTATACGCTAGTACTGCGTAACTCCGACTGCGCTGTTAATACGCCAGGAGTGCGCTGTTAATACGCCAGCACTGCGCTTGTAATACGCCAACACTGCGCTGTTAATAAACCAGGACTGTGCAGTTAAGTTATGGACTGCGCTATACCTACGCTAGGCCTGCTCTGCCTTAATACGCCGGGACAGCATGTTAATACGCCAGGACTCATTGCGGTAATAGCCTGGTCATAATCCTATCCTCATTCAACTGTCATCTTTATACAAGAACAGGTGTCGTTATCTCAGAATAATTTCCTTTAACGACTATATTATATTTAAATAGGATCTGATTTTGTATTTTATTCTTTCTTATATGCTGGTGCTCCTCCAGCACTCATATATTGACAACAGCCCTTTGCCACAACAACACATAAATTGACACGTAAATTGACAACAGCCAACTTATTGATAACTCCGTATATACAGTAATTACGCCGAAAAATCACGCAGTAGTCTGTTTTATGAGACTCATGAGTCACAGTAAGATTCATGCCAATACCGTTGCTTTTTTGAGTAAGGTTATCCATCCTCAATACAGCATTCAAACAACTGTATATTCAGGCTAGCGTTAAGGCAGCTGGGCAAGTGAATAAAATATGTGTGTCATCTACTGTAAAACACATCAATAACTCTTATTCCTGTGTACTGTTATACTGTAGCACACAGCACAAACTGCAACTCTCATTTACTGTACAACACATCACTATCTCCTACTCCTATCTACTGTACAGCACATCACTATCTCTACTCCTATCTACTGTACAACTCATCACTATCTCCTGCTCCTATCTACTGTACANGACTTCACTTTAGGAGCAGTCATAGCTGGATGACGGGGTGGTAATAAGACTTCACTTTAGGCGCAGTCATAGCTCTGTCTCTTATACACATCTAGATGTGTATAAGAGACAGGATAATAACTGTAGAAGTTTCTCCGGAGCTAGGTCGGTCCCCTTAATATATTTTCAAAACTATCAGTTAGTTCACTATCCCTGCAATGTCCTTGGTTAGTTGATGGCAGGTTTGAAATAAGCAGTTACATCTAAACGCAGCTGATACATCGATTGGTAATTGATACGTTCCTTTCTTTTCCTTTTGATTTGGGATTTGCGCAATTTATTTATATATTTTGTGTCTCAGATTGAACACAAAACTGATTTAGTGAACTCATTATCATTTGCGAATGCATGCAGTGTTTGTTGGACAAATAATAATAATTAGAGCGGTTTCAGCGTTTATTAGGCCGTAGGCCTGTCGCCGATTCTTAACATCGCAGAACATTCACAGCTTGCTGCGGTCTCGAACTCGCAACTCACTGCTACAAATTCTGCTATGCTTAACTGCCCGGCCTCCTTGCCGATTCTGACCAGAAACTGGCGCACAGAGCTGGGATCGAACCCGCGCCTCTCTGCTCCAATCTTGGTAACTGTAACCACTGGGCCACCCTGCCCAGGGTGGCACACGGGCACATCATTCAAAACATAAGAAAATAGCCATTAAAATTTTATAGAATAGAATAGAAGTGTCGTCACTGAAGAAATAGGCCCATGGCCTGTTGCTGATTCTTGAATTTTTCGTGACTTGATTCACAAGGGATCCAACCTTTGGAACCCGATCTTTCCATAACTGACGATTGATAGAACATAGCTGCTGGACTTATTTTGCATACTGTCTTTCCAGATTCATCACCCGTTTTAATTTTATACTTAATACCTAATATTCTCAACAACCTTGGGCACCTTATTAACGGTTTTCTGGCCCAGACCCGAGGTATGCTGAGCCGCTACGGGGTCGAGATGTCGTACTTCTCGAAGGTGGAACAAGGCTTATGTGGACGCACAAGCCTGCCAGACGCCGGCGCCGGCAGCGACAATAAACGTTTCGACGAGTACGACAACCTCTCCTCAGATGCATGATTTCACTAATACCCTTGCGAAATGGAATGTAAATTGTATTTTTTTCATTTCACTATTTTAAACATGAATAAAATTGTTGTGAAAATCATTTGGAAAAATTTAAAAGTGCATATGAAGAAGTCCTTGAGTCGGACGAACTTCTTCGTGAGTGTGTTGAAACTTTAACTGTTGATTGATGGCTCAAGTTTCGAGTTCAACAGCATCCTCATGTTGTCATCAGTCTACTTGAGCTTCATCACACAAGTCCAACATCATCAAGTTGTTCGTATCTTCCTTTGTAAGCTTTCAGCTCCAAGTTTCATTTCCAACGAGATAAACATAGTATATGACATAAGACATTCAAAATAACTTTAATGTTACCGCATATTAATCTAATTTAATGTTTTCATCATTATTTCATTGCATTGTTTATCCAATATTATTTTTCAAGTTATATTAACTATTTATGTACTATCTTATTATTATATGAAGTCTTCATTTAAGTCTCATTTAATTGTTCAATCCTTTAATCCTGTGATATACACTTTTTGAATTCAGTCTGATAATTAGTTTGAATTATATTGCCTGTTTTTGGAATCGTCGATGAAAAAATTCAAATTTATCCTTTAAATTTAATTTGTGCGGCGTCTTTATATAGTTTATATTGAATGATTATCAAAAATATACATACATTTTCTTTCTGGGTTGGGAGGGAATGACCGATACAAATGCTGTATTCAATAATACGGTCCTCTGAACATTCCTGATTTTGCCATCTATAATTTCCAGCTATAATTTTCATTTTTCCAGAAACATTTCCTGCCAAAAATTAAATAAACAAATTAATTATTTGTAATGCTGCATCGAATTTTCTGTTTCATTTTTGATTCCAAAGCTCAGCAAAAGTGCATTTGGTTGATAAAATGATCTTTCGTGGCTTTTTCCTATGCCCTAAACCACGCATATCAAAGAAGGGTATGAGTCTCAGACTTGATTTCTTTACAATCGATCAAACTGTGTACTTCAACCGAGCAAGTTTTATCACAAGAAGCACCTATACTTTTTATCTCACCTTTAAAAAGTTATCTTGTAAGATATTATGTAACAGAAATTGTACTTCGTCAATAGACTTACAAAGATTGTACTTCTAATAATTTTATCAATGATGTTGTTGCTAGGCCTTGTTTTAGTCATGTCTGTTCATTTTCAAATAGACAGCCTGATGCCGATGAATAAGAGTAATTACTTCTAGCTTTGATGATTTATCAAGCGCATTTGTTTCATTTCAAACAAGTTTGAGAGTCTTTACACATGTATTTATACATCAGCGAATCGTTCTATGCAAGTGGAGAGTTAAGCGAGACGGTTAGCCTCGCCGCCGCGGAACTCGAGGTCTTCTCTGTGGAAGTAGTCGTTGATGTTGTAGCTGGACTCTGCCTGGGCGCAGGGCAGCGAGTCTTCTGGGTAGTTGCACACCAGCTGGGCCTGCCATCGACATATGATATGGATGTTAATATGCAAAATATTTATATTAAAAGATAGTAATTATGTCATGAAGAACAACAAATTTCATAATTGAGATTGGTGAAGTTTGATCATAGCGTATCTGTAGAGATTTTCAGGGTGAACAACGAATTTCATAATGCGCCGAACTCCAAAAATTTCAAAATTTTCTATTTCAAATCGGCCAGAAGAAATTATTTTCTTGTGCGTATAAATCGTTTCTGCGATTTATGAATTTTTTTATTCACGAATACGAACGAATCTGTAGGATTCGTACGAACGTCCATTAGATTGAATATACTATAGTCTCCCACTTAGGAAAGACTAGTAACAATTTGAACACAGAGCAAGATTGAAGCAAGAGGAGATTTGTGAAATCCATTTAAATAATTTTATTCTTACTGTTGGAAGAAAAACGTCTGTTTAAGTTTAGTATTTGCATGACAATGAAGACGCTTAATATGACCTGGTCGAAAATGGTGCCCACGCCGCAGAGGAAGGACCACATGCGCATCTGGGGGACGCCCTCCGCGTCCTCGTAGGGCATGCAGATGTGGAAGATCTGGCAGTTGTTGTTCAGGTCCGCGTAGTAGCCGAAGTTGCGGCCCGCGCAGCTGTGAAGTTTGGGAAACATACGGAAATTTAGACAACGAACAATAATTACTATTATTATTAATTTTACTCCGCAAATAAGTTTCGAAAGGAAGTTGAAGAAGATGTAATTTTTAAGAATTACGACTGTAAATTCGAATGAAACTTTCTTGCAATGTTAAAAATCTAAAAAGAAAAAATGCCCGTATTGCAGGAAATGGGATATGAAGTTACGTGTGAAATGATTTACCTTCTTTTATGGTTTTCCGGTAAGCGAAGGCATAAAAAAACCTGTGTCAGCAATAATGAAAATGGCGAATTTTACTTGTCAAATCGATTTAAAACGATTGGATCAATGATTTTCTGAAGGATTAGAATTAATATGAAATTAGGTTCACTCAGTAAATCAAGAAAAGTTGACGCAGAAAGAGGGAAATTTCCAAATGTTTACAAATGCTTCACCAGGAAGCTGTTGATGAAGTACAAGCAAATCTTAGGGCCACTGGTCTCCATAAGCAGCAAGCGTCTCATTTTGTGAGAATAAATATTATTCAGAAACAGGAATAATGTTAAAATGTACTCGAAAACTTTACTGTCTGAAACTGTGTACATCTCAGCATTATTTTCCATTAAATTTATTAATAAATGAATGTTCACGCACTCAAATCCATAGTTGATTCCCCCGACGACGACGCTAGCGTTGGACGGAAGTTCATAGTTGTCCGGGGTGGAGTCCCTGCGGACGCGGGACACCGCAGCGATGAGGGTAGCGTTGGAGGGGAGTTCGAAGTCGTCGGGGGTGGAGTCCCTGCGGACGGAGGGCACCGCAGCGGCCGCTACTCCGAGCACCACTGAAACTGCGGAAGCGACGTCTCATTTCCCAAATAATAGACTTAATAAATGAATAATAATAAAACACAAATGTAGTTTCCAGCTATGTGGAAATTGTCTCGATAGCTCACGATGAACTGGTGAGGAAGAACCAAGAAAAGGATCGCGTACGTGAATGGACAGTAAAGCTCTCCTAATGTTCTGCATCAATTTTACAGTTCTGTTTGAGAAATTACACTCTCCGCTCAGTGGATCAGACAAAAAATTATTCATATATTAAAAAATAATCAAAGAAAACAATATTAGCTCCAACGGCAAAATACCAAGTAGTTGCAACCCGCGATAAATTTCGTGCATGACTTCAATTCTTTCGTAGATTCATGAGAAATGTTAGAATTTCTAGAGACACCTGGAGTTATCATTTACACTGGGGATCGTTTTAAGATAATCACCAGAATGATAACACGCCTAACCAAATATAACCTTAAATTACATTTTAGAAAACAACGGGGTCACCAATCTCTACCAATACCCAATAAATAAAAACTCTAAATTAACCCTCTGAAGTTAAACTAGGGATTATGCAAATAATATTATAATTATACAAATTATTCCTGCCAAATCAGAATTAGGTAAGAATAGGTAATGAGGCTCATTGAATTCTCTTTGCTCCTGCAGGCATTACCACACGCGCCCGTGAACTCCTAACAATGGACGCACGCACGGAAGAGTCCTCAAAGTTCTTCGTTTTCGTCAATTCGAAGGCGCAATGCCACCTTCAGTTCAAAGGTCGGCAAGAAACATCTTCGCAGAGAGCTGTTCCTGAAGGTTGAGGTAATTACAGCTTACCTATCATCTTACTTCGGGACCTGGTTATGCTAGATATGTTATTATCTAGTTACCGTCTACCATTTTGCTTCGGTGCCTTGTTATGCGAGACGCGTTATTATCCAGTTGCCATTATTTATTTTTCTTCGGGGCCTTGTTATATCAGGCACGTTATTATACAGTTATCACCTATCATTTTGCTTCGATGCCTGCATATTTAAGCTCCGAATGTTATTATCAAGTCATAAACGCTCGGAAATTACGTTATAAAATGCGCCTGAAATCACAGCCTTCTCATCAGGTCGCATTTGTTTCCGTTTACAAGTTTTTAAATACCACTTTTTCCATTACTCTTCTTCCAAAAAAAGTTTAGAAGTTGCACATTCAATTGGTTTAGCATTTGCTCACTCTAATTGTTCAGTAGTTGCTCATTTTATTTGACGAATAATTAAAGAAAGTTCCTTATTTGCTCCCGGTTTACACAGGTCGAGAAGATTGACCTCCTCGATCCTTCACCTCTTACAGAGGCACAGGAGCCTACGGTGATTCATGCGAGCGCCATACCAGGCATCCTTTAGACCAAGGAAGTCCTTTTTGAAGGATTGATTAAACATGACCGAGCATCCTTTGTTGGTGGCGTACCCAGAGCAAGCGCGTTCGGCAGACGATGCACTTTCACCTTCACTGAAAGTGACGAGGCTTGTGTAACGAATATTTGCGAGCGGTGAGAGGATGGCATTCCATCACTCAGCAAGAGACGTGCGGGGATGGCACCGTCTGCACGTCCTGGAGCCTCAAATGACTGCTTCTCATCTCCGGTCACGTCTTTGGCTGACGCTGACAGAAATGACGTTGACAGAAAGCTACTCCATTTGTAGGGCCGGATAACGAACGCAGTACGAGACATTGCTCCATATGTAATTGAGATGACGAGTGCAGGATGACAAGCTACTCCATATGTAGAGTATAATGTCGATTGCAGGACGACATGATGCTCCATATGTAAGTGGTGGATGAAGAACGCTGTTCCACAGCTGCTCCATATGTAGAGTATGATGTCGATTGCAGGATGACATGATGCTCCATATGTTAGGTGGATGAAGAACGCTGTTCGACTAGCTGCTCCATATGTAGCGTAGACCATGGCGACCACGGAACAAACTTTTCTTCGCGTGTTCCACGCATCCTGTCCTGCATTCTCGAACACTTTATTTCACGTCACGAAAACATTAGGTTTTAGTAGAAGTTTTGTCTCTTTTGAAGTCAACTAATCCAATTAAGGCAACAATGCGAAAATGTTGCGGGAATATATGATAGTTGAGGTT